TAGGGATTAAGCGTTCACACATGAGACCGAAGCGCCTGGCTTCGATCCCCTTATGCAGAGGTTGTGGATAGGCAATGCTAATGAGTCGCAAACTAGAACTCTCGGGTTTTCAGTTCACGATTATTTCTAGTTTAAATAGAGTTGGAATTTTTCGCAAAATAAATTGATTGTAGTGTTTTAATTCTAGACTATTTAAGACAATTTTATTTTCTTAATTACGTAATCGCATGAAAATTCAATGAGGTGGCATTGAAATGACCATGTGAGTTCATCTCACTGAAAATTATCATCACAGTTTATGTGAAGAATAAAAGATTAGAAAGCAGAAAAAACTGAAAAATCAATATTTCAACTTTCACAGCTATTTTTACCTTAAGAACCTACAGAAGAACTATGGGTTGTAGCCAGTCTTCCGCATGGGGTTGTTTAGATAGTTATGATCAAGAAGCACTGTGCTATATTACATAACTGTTGTGGATGTTAGATCCCCAGAACTCGCTTGATAAATATCTTCAGTTTGGATTTATTCCATGGACCGATCAGTTGACCTTGAGATCACATTTCCCACCAGGAAAATCCTTGGCTGTGATTGGTTACTGTGTGATTTTTGTGTGCTATTTTTGTGACTGTCTTAAGGACGTCTCTAAAGAGTATAAATAAACGCAATTCGAGTGCTTGGATTCATTGTGTACTGGCTGGGTGTTTGTAGAATACAATTTCTACAATATATCAAGACTTCTTGCTAATACCTTTTGGTGAAGGGATCACAGTAGCCTACCTGGACGTTGGTTCATTGTTTCGTTCTCGTTATTTGACTAAGGTGAACTCGCAATAGTTAAGCATACTTAGCGACGAGCGTAAGAGTTACTCTCTCTAAAACTGAACGGGTTATTAGACGGTATAGAAAGGATTTGATTGTGACTATTTCGGTCTCGAGTGCTATTACGAGTATACGGGTGGATGTCGTTTCCCGGCTGCCCACGTCGTGAAAGGGTATTTCTTGAAGAACCTGAAAAGGAAGTTAGATTAGTATTGGTCTTAGAGATTTAGGAGCGTGACCGCACAAATCGATGTGGTCAATGACAAGTGGATTGAGCCATGATGATAAGTGTAGATTATCTGGTCGGGGTCCGCCAGGCAAAAATAACCGATAGTTAGAGACTTTCAATGACATGGCTCAAAAACGTTTGCAATGGCCCAGATGCCCCCTCCCTTTTGTTGTATTCTCCCTAATTCTAATCTGAATCCCTCAAAACATTCATTTTTCTCTTTTTAAACTTATTTCACTAGATTATACTCCTTCAGTAATTTCTTCAAACTTAAATCTTTTCGATTACCGCAAAATACTTGTAGTACCTCTACCACTAAGGGATTTGAATCGATAATTGTTTCTCTCTACGCTAATGTAGTATGGCAACTTGAACTGATGCACGTACATATGAAGTTCTACGTTGTTGCTGGCTGAGAGACTGATTGACATACCTGGGGGAATTTTTTTAAAAAGAAATTCAGCACTAAATAATGTAATGGAAAGCTGAAACGACTCAACTCCTCCTGGAGTCTTTCTAGTCCTACTGCCGCTCCCACTCCCAAATAAAAGAGTAGAGTTGGACAATGGGGTTTACCGACGCTATCCCGTAGAAATCCAACTTGCCAAATAAAAAACGCTCACCGGTAAAACAATTTGCTGGTAGGCGGCCTATGCTCCATTAAGGGGTGACAAGCGTGTACGTAAGTAAGTAAATGGTTTGTCACGCTATTGTTTATTGAACTTATCTCAGAGTAGTCTTTTTTCGCTCCTATAGACAGACACACAGATACAACGCAAAACTTCGTACGTAAGTACATCAGTTCAGGTTGCCATGCCCCATCAGCACAGAGACGCAACTGTCAGTTCAAATACAAGAGTGATAGCAATAATAGAAGTATTAGCAATAATGGAGAAGATTAGGGAGCGAAGATATGATTCGAGAAGTATAATTCAGTGAGATAAATTCAGAAGGAGAAAGATAGAGATTATTAGGAATGCAGAAGCTTAGAAGTTCATAGAACACAAAGAGTGGATGCACCTGCGCCATTGCAAACGATTCTGAGCCATGTCGTTCAAGGTCTGTAACCATCGGTGACTTTCGTCTCGCGGACCCCAACCAGATAGCCTGCATCGACCAACATGACTCAGTACACTTGTCAGTGACTTCATGGATTTCTGCCATGTTTTGGTTTGGCCGCCCCTAACTTTCTTCCAACCTACTCCTACACCACAAAACATAGCTCGTCAAGGCAGTCGGTGGTTAGGCAAATGTGACACATGTCCCAACCACCTCAACTGATGGAGTTTCACTAATTCATCTATTGATTTGCCATTCTTACCTAGAACTCGTTTCCTAACGAAAGCATTGCTTATACGGTTGTCCCATGTTACACGAGCAATGCTTCGGAGACATCAATGATCGAAGACTAGTAACCTATGGAAGTCCTCTACTCTTAACGGCCAAGTCTTGCATCCGTACAATAGGACGGAGTGAACTGCTGCTCCTATAACAAAACAATCTACCTGTCAGTTCACTGTGAACTGATGCGTTTTTTTTATCTTCGCTTTTAAAATACACTCGAGTGTGAATGTGGTTTCATTGTATGCTTGATTTCATGTAGTTTGCACTTTATATTGTAATAATATTGATCTGTTGTCACATTATTATTGTAATGATGACGATGAAATCTTAAATTAATCATGTAGTTAAATGGGTTGTGTTGTTTTTGTTATTATTATTATTGTTGATAAAGATGTTAATTTAATTTGCCACGCCTCTTCATACACATAGTCTGGTATGGTTGAGAGTGGAGGGAGTCCTCTCTATCTGCCTATCTCTCTCTCTCAAAATTCTCTCATATTACTTACTTACTTACTTACTTACTGTCTCCGGTTACCCCCCCGATGATGCATAGGCCGCCGTCCTAGACCTTCCTTTCTAGTTCTGTCCAATCGTGGTTCATTCTTCTCATGTCTGCCCTCATTTCCCGGCTAAATGTGTTCTACGGTCTTACTATTCTCTTTGGGCCTTGGAGATTCCAAGCACGGGCTTGTCTTGGGAAGCAGTCGGGTGCTTTCTTCAATGTGTTTTCCATCATGTTCTAGCGCTTCTTGCTGAGTTCTTCCTTCGCTGGAATCCGGTTTGTTCCGCCCCACTTAAGGTTGCCGCTGATTATGTCTGACCAATGGATCCGAAGTATTTTGCGTAGGCAACTGTTGATAAACAGTTGTATCTTCTGGTTAATGTCTTTCTTAGTTCTCCAACTTTCTGAACCATACAGTAGAACCGTTTTGACGTTTGTATTGGAAACTCTGATTTTGGTGTTGGTTGATAATTGTTTGGAGTTCCAGATGTTATGCGATTGTAGAAATTCAGCTCTTGTTTTGCCAATCCGCGCCTTCACATTTGCATCAGGTCCACCGTGCTCATCAATGCTGCTGCCCAGATATGTATCAGCTTTAACATCTTCCAAAGTCTCTCCGTCAAGTGTGTTGTATCGGAGAATCTCGCTTTTCCCTTTATGTATGTTGAGACCTGCTGACACTACCGCTACACTGATCGTCTTCTCTTGCATTTGTTATCGCGTGTACAATAAAAGAGCCAGATCATCTGCGATGTCTAGATCATCTAGCTGCATCCTGGCTGTCACCTGTAGATAGCCGCCACCAGTGAAGTCATATTCCCTACCTTCTATTGACAACAGTGCTGTTTATTGAATTGAGAGCACGAAAAATGATTGTCTGGACAGGGCTTAAACCAGGCTGATAAGTATCAAGCACCCTTATACTGGAGTTATGAAACCCTGATCACAAAAACTAATATGTGTACATAGGCTCCACGATCCTAACTGAACGAGCGCCGTATAAGCCTATCATTAGTAACCGACATCCGTGACATTACATGTTGTGACGCTGCTTTCCTACCTGGATTCGTCAGCACCTCTACCTTTGTCTCCCTAACATTATCTCGCTGAATTATACTTCTTGAATAATATCTTCAAACCCTATTCTTCTTCATTACCATTAATACCTCTACTATCTTTATCACAATGGGATTTGATTTGACATTTGCGTCTTTGTGCTAATGTGGTATGGCAACATGAACTTACGTACATACGTACGAAGTTCTACGTTGCAACTGACTGAATTCCTACCTTGTCGATTAGACCTTTAGATTAAAAAAATCTCATGATATTGCTCTTCAAGAAATTCTACTTCGCTTTAGATACCCGGGTGGATATCCCAGTCAATCCCCTCCTAAACTCAATAATTTATGTGATTGGCTTAAACATTTCGGTACCCCTTTTATACAAGTGTTTATATGTTTACATGAAAGAAAATAATGTTTTAGAAAGTCTGATATCACTATTATTCAGTCAGTCAGTCAGATGCAACGTAGAACTTCGTACGTATGTACATCAGTTCATGTTGTCATACCATATCAGCACAGAGATATAATTGTCAATTCAAATCCAATAGTAGAAGAGGTAGTAAAGGTATTCGAAGTAATCCGAGAGGTTAAGATTAGAAGATATTCAAGAAATATGATTCAGTGAGAAAAGTTTAGGAAGTCGAAACTAGAGGGGTTGAAGAATTCAGAAGATTAGGATTTGAGAGAACACAAAGTATAAATGCACTGGCGCCATTGCGAACGATTTTGAGCCATGTCAGTCAAGGTCTCTAACCATCGATTATCATCTCGCGGACCCCAACCAAGTAGTCGACAATTACCGACATGGCTAAGTCCACTTGTCAATGACTTCATGGATTTCTGCTATGTTTTGATTTGGCCGCCACTAGCTTTCTTCCAGCCTATTCCTACATTACAAAATAAAGCTCGTCGAGGCAGTCAGTGGTTAGGCATACACAGCACATGTCTCAACCACCTCAACTGATGAAGTTTCATTACTTCATTTATTGATCTGCCAATCACTATTATTATTATTATTATTATTATTATTACTTACAGACAAACGTCTAAACCAGATAATAAAAATAACAATATACTACCATCGAATACAACTTTGACCGCGGCAAAAATGTTGATGAAATAATCAATCACCTCCCCCCCGGACAAAAATCAACGATATTATGAATTTCTCCGACTGTATGTTTTTCATTTTTCGGCTGTCTGCGTCGACACAACCGGAAATGCTGTTGAGCGATTTTTTTTTTTAAAAAAACACCTATTTTTCTCCATTTTGATCGGTTTTTTGTGCTTTTTTTTTTCCGACCGTTTATTTTTTTTTCTATGTGCACAGTGCCTTTTTTTTTTAAAAAAAGTTACACCTATTGTTTGTCTCCTCTCTGTGTGAATCTGTATGTGTGTGCTTGTGTTTGTGGCCACAGCGAGTTGTCGGGTTTTTCGGGTATTGCAGTACTGTGATTCGTTTTTTCTCTTGCCCCCGCCGCCCCGCTGTGTACACTACATCATCTGTTTTTTGTACATTTCACTTTCTCTTCTCCTCGAAAACATTAAATTTTTCTTTCTTTTGTAAGTAAGTGTACAACTAACTAATTGTGCCATTCGCCTTTTCAGTGCCTTGAAAAATGCAATGCCTTTCTTGTTGTTTGTTTTTCGTACCTCTGAGTTTTTGTCATACTCACACACACAGTGTGACGATCATTTTTGGTCGTTGCCTTGTGTTTTTCTCCTGCTAATGCATGATTTTCAGTTTATCATTATTATTACTATTATTAATTTTGTAATATTTTGTAAGTGTTTTTTTTGTATTCTGCCCTGTTTTCACGTGGAGTAAGTTAAGTGCAAACGACACCGTTCACTGACTGACATCAACATGATACTGCTGATCCTGCTGTTCACGTGCGTGTGCGCGCGCGCTGGTGTGATGCTATTTTCTCCCTTGATTTGTGAATGAACGTCGAGCCTTATTTTTCGTCTGTCTATTGATTTGTCTATGCTGACCGCTCACACACACGCGCGCGCACGCGGACGTACGTACACACACCTCATGGATGGATTTATCATCACCAAACACACAATACAATGCACTACACACCTTAGACACAAATGAAGTGATATCTCAATAAAAATGGTTGAGTGCTGTTAGCTAAAACACTCAACACTCTTCATCATATCACATCACAATTAATCAATTATAAATTGTAATATGCAACTTCACCATTGAATATTGTTTATTCTTGTCTTGTTTTAATTTCTATAGTGTTTTCGTTTTGTGCGCACCTTTTTGTTTTTTTTAGTGTGTTTGTGTGTTTCTCTCTTGTTCCGTTTCATTCACAATTACACTTCATAATGATTATGACGATGATGACTTGCTTTAAAACTTAACAAAATCTAATAATGTAAACAAAAGTGAAAATGTTTTTCAATAAAAAAATACTGATTGATTCAATGTTTGAATACAGTGTTTTTTCTCTCTCTCTCTGTTTTCGTTAAAAAACAGTTTTTTTCTTGCGTGTTTGTGTGTGTGTGTAAGTGTGAATATGTTGATTGATTGAGTGTGTACGATTTGTAGCAATAGTAGTTTTGATTTGTTTGATTTTTCTGTTGATATTGAATTATTGAACATTGAATGAATCGTAAATCTATATGATGCTTCTTAAATCGATCAGAGTTAGACATGAACACCGTTGGACAGTGGCCGGCTTAATAGGGTGGTCTAGAGGCTAAGCGTTCGCGCGATTAGCAGCGGAGTCGTCGATGTGCAGTATCACTGGTCTTTATTTTGACCAATTTGGTCTCGTGTGCTGTTGTGGGCGGTTGTCACTTCCCGGCTACCCACACCGTGGAAGGGTGCATCTTGAGGAGCCTGGAAAAGAAGGTAGATTAGTGCCGGTGTTAGAGACCTGAGAGCGTGACAGCAGAGCTCAAGAGACAACTGATTGAGGCCGGTCACGCACGGCCTTTTTATGAAGGGTTTTTTGGGTATTAGCTGCGCTCTTGAAAGCCCTTAGTGGGCACCCTTACCGACGGAGACGGAAATCCGTGAGGTAGGGTAAGGTGTGACATTTTTAGGGTGGACCTTTTCTAACCCTTCCTTCCTTGTGAGAAGGCAGCATCGCTGCAAATGCTGTTTGTCCGAGGGAAACACCTTACTGCTATCACACCCCTCTGAAGTCAGCAGTACGACTTCGCTCTCAGACCTTGGGTAGCTGCTTTTAGTCTCATCGTTCTCTAATCGGTTTTAAAGTTTAACCTGAATCAATCCATCGGTCAGTCACTCACTTACAACGTGGGACATCGTACTTACGTACATCGGTTCAAGTTACCATATCACATATTAGCACAGAGATGCAATCGTCATTTATAATCCTATGATGATAGATGGTAGTGGAATACTAACGGGATCAATACATGATATTGCGGAACCATGTTTCAGTGTCTTTTTCGGGTAATCATTACCTTACACCTGAAATTGTTGAATTCCACCGGTCGTGGTCTCTCTTACTAGAACTTTGGAGATTCCGCCAGGAAGCTAGTCCCTAATGAGAATATGATATTATTTATTGGAGTACTGTCTCCGTCTTTCGATGAATCCCGTGAAAAAATAAAATCTTGAAAACTTCACTGTTTTCATACTGACTAAAAGTGATTTTTAATTATTTTTTTTTCCAGTTTTATTTAAAACCGGTTTTCTGAACTGTTCATACATACATAAATTTGTGCCTATTGTTTGAATCTCCTTAACTGATCAGTTTCATTTGGTATCAACGTATCTTGCGTGGATTGCATCGACATAATCCATTTTAAACAGAGTTAGATGATGGCTAACACACTGGAATCTAGAATGTGCGTTTCGTTTTATTCCGACACTGGTCAACTACCACATCGCATAATTGAATTATTCAACTTCAGCCTATTGCTCAAGCCCTTGGCTAAGTGGTTCATCGAATAACGTCTGAAGTAAATAGTACCGAATTCTATTCTTGGAGTGAAAGGTATCTCCAACTACAGACGAGTAGTCTTAAATAGGACGAAACACACATCGCTCTAGTGGGCTGAGATACTGACTCGTTGGATGGCTAAACTGAAGCAGGTGATTTCCTTAGGTAGTCGCATTTGGAGACTTTGAGCTTAGGGTCCAATCTACAAAGCAGTGGAATAGTATCAGAAATAGGAGACAGTCTGACGGTAGCCGATCAGCCAGAGTATGTTCGTGCGCTATTTATTCCGTCAGGATCTGTGTGGTATTCCTAAAATGGAATCGATTCAGTATTTCGACAGTTTTTCAATCATTTTTAGTGATGTCTACAAATTTATGTGACACAAATTACTGAATTTCTGTGTGTGCTGATTGGGATACTGCTCAGATGCCCAAATACGAAGCAGATGGTTCTCTTAGGCTGTCACTCCATGAGCCTTTAATTCAAAGAGCATATCTTCAAGTCCGTGAAGCAGCGTCACAAAACGCAATCTCATGGTAGCCGGTCACCAACTATAGGCTCTTGGGAGTCTCATCAGTGCTGATGGCCTGGTGACTGACGAAATCTCAGCACGGATACAGAAGGCTCGATTGGCTTTTGCCTACCTGCGTCACTTATAGCGTAGGCGAGATATCCGTCTGCTGACTAAAGGACGGGTGTACTGCGCAGTAGTTCGCTCCGTCTAACTTTATGGCTGTGAAACATGGCCAATGAGAGTAGAAGATACTCGTCGGTTATTGGTTTTCGATCATAGGTGTCTTAGAAGCATTGCTCGTATATCCAGGGACACTCGAGTGAGCAACGCTGTTATTAGGAAACGGGTGCTAGGTAAGAATGGCAAATCAATAGATGAAGTGCTGAAACTTCATCAGTTGAGGTGGTTGGGACATGTGATGCGTATGCCTAACCACAGATTGCCTCGACGAGCTTTGTTTTGTAATGTAGGAATAGGTTGGAAGAAAGCTAGGGGTGGCCAGACCAAAACATGGCATAAATCCATGAAGTCGTTGACGAGTTGACTTAGCAATGTCGGTAATTGTCGACTACCTGTTTGGGGTCCGCGAGATGATAATAATCGATGGTTAGAGACCTTGAATGACATGGCTCAAAATCGTTCGCAATGGCTCCGGTGCATTTATTCTTTGTGTTCTCTCAAATCCTAATCTTCTAGATTCTTCAACCCCTCTACTTTTGACTTCCTAGAGTTTTCTCATTGAATGATACTTCTTGAATAATATCTTCTAATCCTAACCTCTCAGATTACTCCTAATACCTTTACTATCTCTTCTACTATTGGATTTGAATTGACAATTGCATCTCTATATGCTGATGTGGTATGGCAACCTGAACTGATGTACTTACGTACGAAGTTCTACGTTGCATCTGACTGACTGATAGGCTTATACACCATTCATTCCGTCAGGATTGTGGAGCTCATGAATATCATTGATTTGTAATCAGGGTTTTCTAACTACCGTAGGTGGATGCTCGGCACTCACCAATCTGCTTTATGCCCTAACCGGACACTCATCTTTCGTCCTCTTAATTTGATAAACAACACCTCTGACACATCAAGATAAGGGATATATCACTTCAGTGGTCGTATCTATATACATATGACTGGATGGGAGCATTTTGAGCGAGTGAGCGAGAGAGAGTTCACACTCTCTTCATTCTCAACCGTACCAGGGTATTTCTGGTATAGTGGCTTTTTCTAGCCTTAGTGTACAATCAATGTGGCGGTCGACATAATGATTATCTGTATTTGTTGTTTCTATTTCTCTTAATATAATAATCAATAACAGGTAATATTACATGAATGTATGTCGTTTGTTTGTTTGTTCGAATAATCTAACTTATTTTAACATTCACCATTGAACATTGATTCCTCCATGTTGTTGTTTTTTATTTGGGGTTTTTTTTGTTGTTGTTGATCAAATTAGCCTAATCAATGTCATCATGGTTAAGTGATTTAGCTAATAAAGCAGAGAATTTCTTAAACACATTGGATAATTCAGCTGCAGAAGTTTTCAAACCAAATGAACAACAACAACATGAATATCCGTACAAATCATTTCTTCGTAATGATGATGCGGATGCTGTTGCTGCCGCTACAATCCATGATGATTTAAACAAGACTAGTAGATATTATGCATTGGATGAAGCGCCATTATCAATTCGTACTTTGACCGATGCTAATCATCATCATCAACCGAATTCATTATTCACCAATACAAGATATGATATGCCTGTGACAGTGAAATCATTGGAGATGTTGACCGATATTAATACTACTAATACTACTACCATTGGTAGTAGTAGTAGTACACTGGTTGATTCAATCAATAACAACACTTTGTCAACGTCATCGCCATTATCATTGTCATCTGTTCAAAACAAAATATCCAGGTATGTTATTTTTTTGAAAACAAGTAAAAAAAAAGGATAAAAATAAGGTTTTCATGATAAAAGTGTCATTCAACTGATGATGATGACCTTGAGTGAACCAATCCAAGTGCAGATTGACACTTGATGTGTAGTTTGCGCGAAATTTAAACTGCAACGAATCGGTCACATGTATGTTATTGTAATAAAAATAATAATGAAGTAGAATTCGATGATATCTAGTTCATAAAAATAGAATAGTAGTATATAGTTAGAGAAGATTTAGTTTACTAACAAAATAATTACACATAACCTCCTAACATCTTATTTGCTATTCAAATAGGCTTCTGACTGCGTCGTATGTCATATCTTCTGGTCTTAAATGACGTCTGTTTGCGTTATGGATTTTGATAGCCTGAAACTCATCTATCTATCTAGTAGCAACTTCTAGGTAATGTTCTGCTACGCGCTACTCGCGTGAATGTTGTAAGTAGCGTCCAGCACACTACTACTACTATGTGGTGCGCGCAACTTATAAGTAGTATATGACGTGAGCGTCAACGTAATGTCTGGCAGCAGAAGATGGGGGAAGATCAAGAAAGGAAGAGTTAGAACAACACAATGGAATTTGTATGAAACGCATGAATAGTGAGTGACAATGGATTGATGTTTTGCAACAGGAACAGTCCAGTTCGATATGATGAACTGATATTTTGCAAATTAACGATTTACGATATGGTTTTCCAATTTTACTGAGTAACTCTGTAATTTCGTTAAATACAATTCGGTTGCCCTACCTGTGTTCTCCTTCACTACACTACTACTGTTGTGCACGAAAACTCAGGTGAGGACACCAACAATATATTTAAGCGAACATGACAGAGTTGTTAGGCATATTTACAAAACCTTCTCGTGAAATCATCATTTGTAAACGAATCCTTATTTGTTTCAGATTTCAGTGTTCTTTCATTTAGACTGTTCAGACTTCAGTTCACTTTACGTTACCTACAAATCGTCTTCTGTTCTCATCCTTTCCTTCTCGATCTTTTGGTGTCAGGCGTTTGATTTCCATTTGATATCATATACTACTTATGTGAACATAAGTAGCGTCCAGCAGACTATTACTTCTACTACACCAGCCGGTATTGTACATCTATAAAAACTCACTATTGATTGTTTTATACTGGTTATGTGATTCACTTAGAAACTATAACATAATTATAACATGACACTAATGTTGGAGACGCTAGATCCTCAGAACTCATTTGATAAAGGTCCTAATCTTGAATTTTATGCTTTTGCACAAGGGTTGATCAGTTGACCTTGATATTACATTTCCCACCCGGAAATCCCGTGGCTGTTATTGGTTGGTGGATTATTTTAGTACGCTATTTTTGTGGCTCTCCCAAGGATGTTCCTATGATGCATAAAGAAACGAGATTTGTGTGTTTGCATTCATTATCCTTGCTGGGTGTTTGTAGAATATACTTTCTACGCTATATGAAGACTTCTCTTTAGCCGTTTTGAGTCAACGGATTAAGGTACCCTACCTGGACGCTCGATTTGTGTGCTTGTCGACCTCATACTTTCTGGGTGCTTGTAGAATACACTTTTCCACGCCTTATCAAGACTTCTTAGTATAGTTAGCCGGGTCGTTTACCGAGTATCGTGAACTCATAATAGCCGTTCAAGCATATCGATTGACGATCATATCAGATTGAAATTCTTCTCACCTACTTGATGTATGAGTTGTCAACATTAAATTGTGGAAATGGTCTAGTTTCATTGAAATCATGAACTCTAATCAATGCTGGATCACCATTGGAATCCTGAAAACACTGTGGACGGCCATCTTGTCTCAGTTTAAGTGAGACTAACCAGCAATGTGCATCCATGCCCGACCGAAGCTGCTGTCTTGACGGGGTGGTCGGGCTTGCCTATCGTGATGACCCAACCGAGCTATATTGGCTGGAACATATGTTCCTAAATGTTCTACCATGCCAGACAGGTCGATTGGAGAACGATGAGATTAAAAGCAGCTACTCAAGGTCTGATGGCGAAGTCGTACTGCTGACTGTGGAGAAGAGATGTGACAGCAATAAGGTGTTTCCCTCGGACAACCAGCATCTGCAGCGATGCTGTCTTCTTTCTCACAAGGAAGGAAGGGTTAGACAAGGTCGACTCTAAAAATGTCACACCTCACCCTACCTCACGGATTCCCGTCTCCGTCGACAAGGGTGCCCATTAAGGGCCTTTAAGAGCGGAGCTACTACTCAAAACACCTTTCATAAAAAGACCGTGCGTCATCGGCCTCAAGCAGTTATCCCTTGGACTCTGCGGTCACGCTTCCAGGTCTTTAAGACCAACACTAATCTACCTTGATTTTCAGGTCCCTCAAGAAACAACCTTTCACGGTGTGGGTAGCCGGGAAGTGACAACCGCCCTCACATACCCGTAACAGCTTTTCGATGACCCCGAGAACGAGGCATTAACACCGTTGGATGTGCCCACTCAGTGGCCAAGAGGTCCAACGCTTGGACACCAGTCCGAAGGTCTTGTTCGTCAACATGAGCTACTGTGATAAGTAGTAGTCCTGTACTAGGACGAAATCGTCGCATTAGCGGTAGCTACCAGGTTTCCATTAGTTGGTAGTCTGCGACTGATCGATTGTCTGTTCCAATCAAATTAAATGAATGTTTGTTGTTGTTGTTTTTTCCACATAATTTTTCAGAAATAAAGAATTGAAATCTACCACAAAATTAAACACTTTCAAACAGAAATCCACAGATTTAGACTTATTGGAATTTTTAAATGATAATAATAATAATGATCATACTCAAACAAAAATTCAGAATACAGATCACTTGGTCAATTCATTCGAACAAAAATCAATATTATCGATTAATAGTAATAACCTTGACGCAGAGTCAAATAGTGGTTATATGACAACGTCTTTGTCGAGTAAACACTCTGGTTTGTCTAATAAATCATCTAAGAATGAAGAAAGTTCCACTGGAATAACTGTCCACCACGAGCACGAGCAGCTGACTACTACTTCTACTGCTACTACTACTGGTCCACGTGAAGATTCTTCTAAACAATTACGTCCGCCAAAATCTACACTGATTGGTGATTTACAGTTGGAGAATAAACTTTTACGTAGTGAAGTTTCATCGTTGAGTCAAGAAGTGTCTGAATTATTACGTCGGAATCATAAAGCTTCTGAAGAAATTAAACAACTTAATGGTCAAGTGAGTGTGTGTGTTACTATTTTTTGTGTTAGTGAAGACAATGGGTGATTTACGCAATTTTTGTTTGACCGTTCCTGAGAGGGCCTGTAGACAGTGTCGTATATAGGTGTGTTTGGCTTTTTCAAGATGATATACACCCAATGCTGTCCTGGTGTTTTTTTTATCCAGTTAGTTCCCCAGTGCAATCCATTCTTCTGATGTCTGCTTCCGATTCCCGGTGCAGTGTGTTCCTCGGTCTACCACTATTCCTTTAGCCTAGAGGACTTCAAGTTGGGGCTTTCATCGTAACACACTTCGGTGCTTTCCGTAATTTGTGTCCTACCCTCCTTCAGCACTTTTTGCCTAATTTCATTCTCAGTTAAAGGTATTCGGTTTGTTCTCTCCCCTAGTAGGTTGTTACTGATGGTGTCTGTAGACGGCTACTGTTAATAAACACCTGTATCTTGTGGATGATCGGTTTCATAGTTCGTTAGGTTTCTGATCCATGCTATACAACTGTCATTTGTCTTGAAAATTGTGACTTTAGTGTCGATTATGAAATTGTTTTGCAGTCTTATTTAAGAGTGTTCTCGATCTGAGTTGTGTTGTAGTTTAATAACAGTAGGATAATAGTGCTGGCTGCTAAGTTAGTTATCTAGTATAGAGAAATAATAATCAGAGGGTGATGTGACGCCTATTAACCCCTAATGGGGAGAGTGAGTCACCGACCAGCGAATTATTTTTCTGGTTAGCGTTTTTTATTTGGCCAGTTGGATTTCTACAGGATGAGGTCGCTAAACCCCATCCATACACAACCCTCCTCCTTTATCCGTGGTCTTCAGAATCACAGTAACCTTAGATGGGCTTTTTTGTGACTCTCCCAAGGACGTCTCTATACTGTATAAATAGAAGCGATTTATGTGCTTGGATTCATTGTATGCTGGCTGGGTGTTTGTAGAATACACTTTCTAAGCTATATAAAGACTTCTCGTTAGTACCTTTGAGTCAATGGGTCAGAGTAGCCGCCTACCTGGACGCTGGTTCATTGTCTCGTTCTCGTTATTCAACTAAGGTGAACCCTTTTAAGCATACCTTGTGACGAATGTAACAGGCTCCAGTTGGAGTTTCATTTAATTTGTTCATGCATATAAATACATCGTTTTTACTTTAAAATTAGTGTCGATTCATACATCCGCTTTCTCCCTCTCTCTCCCTCTCTCTCTCTCTCACACACTCACTCTTCTCTCATGACAGATTGATCATTTGAACAGTGAATTAAAAGAATCTGATCAACGTATTCATGAATTATCAAACATATCAACTAATCAAAAAAGTGTGGAATTATTAGAAAGCACAAAATTGAAACAAACTGAAATTGAATTATCAATTGTACAAAATAATTTAAATTATGTGACATCACAATTAGAGACAAATAAATTGACAATTGTAAGTTTCCCTTTTTATATCTTTTATGCTTGAGTTTTACGTAATTTTAATTCATTGACATGTATAGTAAAGTGTGTGTGTGTGTGCGCGCCTTTTTTACTACTTACACTAGAGCTTATAAGTAGTATGCTGTGGCTATGCAGCTGAGTGCCTATGGCCTAACAGTGTCCGATCAGGGTATGATGGCGTGATATTCGTGTTTTGACGTGTAGAAGACAGAAAGGGGATAGCTAAGAGAGATTACACTTGATTGGCAAATGAATATTTTACAATAAAGTGTGTGTACAGTTTTTTGGCTGCTTGTAGTAGATTGTGTCTTTTTCACACACAAATACATTGATTATCCCAATTCTGGGCTTCTAAACATGACAATATAATCCTATTTTGGGGCAGAGTTTTGGAGGTTTGCGTTTTTACACATTTGAAATGATCAATCAATCATTGTTAGACCACCATTAGAAACCTGGAAGCACTGGATGGCCGTTTCGTCCTGGTATGGGATTCATCAGCAGTGCGCATCGACGACTCCTGCACCTCGCAGGATTCGAACCCGTGACCTTCGGTATTGTAGGCGAACGCCTAACCATCGGACCACTGGGCAGGCATCCAACGGTGTTAATTAATGTCTAACTCTGATTGATCTACGGATGTTTGCGCGACCTCACTCATTTGTCTTTGGTAGTTACTGCCTACAACCCTAGTTGGAAATATACTCCTTTGTATATATATATAGATTTGTATAGCCGCCTAATTACCAATTAGAAAAAAAGTCACACATTAAATGAAATTGTAGCAAAATTGCATGTTGTATTTCACGTTGAACATAGTTCATGTTTGAATTCAGCTACAATGATTAACAGACTTTAAATGAATAAACATCATCACATTAAAAATAAAACAACTCGTACTCTGAGTAATCATCATATTGAATGTTAACACAGAAATTACAATGGAGAAAGGTGATGAGCTTGATGAACACCGCTTAAGGTTGACGATTATGATAACTGATCTCTATAAGCTCTAATTCGATCAATGGTGTTTGAACAGAGAGTCTGTACAAGGCTTGTACTCTTTTCAGCGACAACAACTGCCATAGAGCCTCTGAATTGACAGAGTTATATGCCGCTGGTGAACACAATAGAACTTTCTTTCTTCCTCAAACTGGAACGATCAGCAATGGTTTATAAGTGATTTCATACACGGTTTTCTTTCATCATCCTAAAAAGTGAAAGAGCAAATTTCAGCAGAATAGCGTGAATTCATTTTATTTTCATTTTTGGTTCCTGTCAATTGCTTACAACCTGTAATATTAAGAAATCCTAACTAAAAAATTAGATGAAGTTACGTATATAAACGAATTTACCTTGCAATCATAAATGAATCATTGTAAGACCATCAGTAGAAATCTGCGAGCACTGAAAGGCCATTTCGTCCTGGTATGGGACTCGTCAGCAGTACACATCCACGACTCCTGCTACTTGCATGCTTCGAACCTAGGACGTTCGTTCTTGCGCGCAAACACCTAACTTCACTATTGAACCGGCATTCGACAGTGTTAATGTCTAACTCTAACAAATCTAAGGATTTCGCGTAACCTCAGCCATTTTCTTCGTTAGTTACTGCCTACACCCAACAGGGTTGAATTCCACTGGTCACGAGACCACTTTTCTCAAAGATATCAGGAATTTAGTCCATCAGGGACCTGTTACTCTCTCTCTCTCGGTAAATCAGCTACAGCTTTTCTTGCTTTATTTTAAGTCTGTGGACTTGTGTTGAATTCAGAAACTTGATTGATCCCCCCCCCCACTGACTGAAAATAGGGAAATGGTACAATCCTGAAGAACACAGTTTAACGTTTACGATTATCATGACTGATTGCCATATTAGCTCTGATTCAACTAGTAGTGTTTGAGCAAACAATCTGTAAAAAGGTAGATATGGTTGTTTGTTATGGCTTTCAATGATAGTGACAGAGCCATAGAACATCTGAATCGTCAGAGTTGAGTGTCTCTCTGGTTATCACAATAAAACGTTTGTTTCTACTGTAAAATTATATTCTTACATTAAGAAAAGTGTGATTCCATTCAATAAAATTACACATTGAATAAAAAAAAAAGACGATTCATTGGTCTAGTGAGAGCTTATGGCGAACTGTCATTGGAATTCTCTACTACAAGTGGTATCCGTCAGGGATGTCCACTTTCTTCATTCTTGTTTAATTTTGTCATAGACTTGCTTCTAGATGTAACCTTATCCTCATCTGAATTTTCAGGAGTCGACTTTCTACCAGGAAAATCGCTTACTGACTTAGAATATGCCGATGACATTGTCCTACTTGGTTAAGACGCTGACAAAATGCAGAGTTTTCTGACCGCCCTCAGAAACAGTGCAAGCATGTTCAGGATGCAGTTCTCATCCTCGAAATGCAAAATGTTGCTTCAGAATTGGATTGCGACTTCACCGGAACTAGTAATAGGGAGTGAAGTAGTCAGACGTGTAGACCGCTTCACTTATCTGAGGAGTTTCATCACTGCTGATAGCCTGGTGACTGACGAAATCTCAGCTCGGATACAGAAGGCTCGATTTGCCAACCTGCGTCAACTATGGCGCAGGCGAGATATCTGTTTGTTAACCAAAGGATGAGTGTAGTGTACAGTATTTCGCTCCGTCCTACTGTACGAATGCGAAACATGGCCGTTAAGAGTAGAGGACTTTCGTAGATTACTAGTCTTCGATCATCGCTGTCTCCGAAGCATTGCTCGTGTAACCTTGGACGACTGAGTAAGCAATACTTTCTTTAGAAACGAGTTCTAGGTACGGATGAAGTAGTAGTAGATGAAGTAGTGATACTTCATCATTTGAGGTGATTAGGACATGTGTTACTGATTCCCAACCACCGGCTGCCGCGACGAGCTATGGTTTGTGGTGTAGGAGTAGGTTGGAAGAAAGCTAGGGGCGGCCAAGCCAAAACATGACACAAATCTATGAAATCACTAACAAGTGGACTGAGTCATGTCGGCAAGTGTGGACTACTTGGTTGGGGTCCGCGAGACGATAGTCACCGACGGTTATAGACCTTGAACGACATGGCTCAAAATCATTTGCAATGGCGCACGTGCATCCACTCTTTGTGTTCTCTCAAATTTTAACCTTCTGAATTCCTCATAATCTCTATCTTTCTGCTTCTAAATTTATCTCACTGAATTATACTTCTCGAATCATATCATCGCTTCCTAATCTTCTCAATTACTGCCTATACTTTTACTATCACTATCACTCTTGGATTTGAACTGACAGTTGCGTATCTGTGCTGATGGGGCATGGCAACCTCAGTTGATGTACTCTCGTACGAGGTTCTGCGTTGTATCTGTTTGTCTGTCATTTATAATGCTAAAAATTTAACTTGCTCATGCTAACTTGCATCACTAATTGCATAGGACAGATATCCGTCTGCACAACAGAGGACAAGTTTACTGTACATCACTTCACTGCGTCCTTCTCTATATGTGTGAAACATAGTCAGTCAGAGTGGAAGATATTCGTAGGTTATTGGTTTTCGGCGCATTGTTCCTGTATCCTAAAACTACCAAGTGAGCAGTGCTTAGGTGTTAGGAGAAAGATGGCAGGTAAGGATGGTAAATCAGTTGATAAAGTAGTGAATCTTCACCAGTTGAGGTAGTTGGCAATGTCCAATCACCGACTACCTAGACGAGCAATGTTTTCTGGTGTAAGGATAGGCTGGAAGAAATCTATGAGCAGTGATCGACTGACTGACTGACTGACGATTGTGTATATTTGTATTTTTAAATCGTAATCAGTTATTATTATCATCCCCTCTCTATGAATTTCCATGATGATTATTCAACTCTCATATTGTTGAGTCGTTTTCATTCTTGTGATTCTTATTCTCTAATCCTTGGATTATTACGTAACTTCCTTTTTGATTTTCCCGAAATCTCAGATCACAGTTTGATGTATGATGTAATCCATGGGCTTCATATATATATATATATATATATATATATATATATATATATTAAACATGAACAACTTAAAAACACGAATGTACAGTAGTAGTATTAAGTGACTTCACTTCTTCGACTGTATTGTTATTAGTTGTATTTTCGGATATCCGATGTTTTAAAAAAAGACTCAATAGTTGTAGATTTTTTTCAGTATTGTATATCAGTCTTATTATATTCTAATGAAGATTAGCTGTTACCTAACTGTTGAATAAATTAGTCTAGTCAGCTACAACGTAGAACTTGGTATGCACCTCAACTTGGTAGTCTACACCTGCTAGCATTGCGCAGTTTAATTGTCAGTGTGTTGGTGGATTTGTACGATGTTTTGGTTTGGCCGCCCCTTACTTTCTTCCAACCTACTCCTACACCACAAAACATCGCTCATCGGGAAAACGTTGGTTGTGCATACGTAGCACATATCCTAACCATTTCAACTGATGAAGATTCACTACCTCATCAATTGATTTGCCACCCTTATCTAGCACCTTTTTCCTAATGACAACATTGCTTACTCGATTTTCCCATGATATGCGAGCAATGCTTTGGAGACACCTACGATCGAATACCAGTATCTTACGAATATGTTTCACAGCCATGAAGTAGGACGAAGCGAACTGTTTTGCAGTATGCCGGCCCTTTGGTTGGTAGACGGAAATCTCGCCCACTCCATAGTTGACGCATGTGCTGTAGTCTGTCTGTGCTGTAGTCTTGTCAAACACCAGGCCATCGTCACTGACGAGCCTCCCAAGATGAGCTGTCAATATGCTCAATTGCTTCTTTCCCTGCTTCAGGTGGTGATGCAATTAAATCCTGAAGTAACATTTTTCATTTTCAGGGGCAGAATTGCATCAATAACACGCTTGCATTGTTGCATTTAACACATTGGGTTCGAGTCCCGGAGCGAACATCAAATCTGGGATGTGGCAGTTACATACAACTTAAAACGAGTCTCAAATAGGATGAAACATCCTGGATTTTTTACTGCAAGCCATTTTCTGTCTCTCTGCTTATAATAATACAATGGAGTAGTTTATTAATCGAACACTGAGTCAGTGACTAATAATCGAAGTATTCTGTAGTTATGTTTTACAGTCTAATCTCGGAAAGTTTCATAATTTGAATATGATATTAAATATGGTTGACAGTGTTGAATCATTTGACTCGATAATTCAAGAAAAATTCTTGCTACTATGTAATCTATCAGTAGTATTATTATAATTTAAGTAAAAATGGACGCCTAATTATATATGCGCCAAACAAATAACTGAATTTGTGTATGAACTCAGATAAAGTTCGGGTGCCTGAACTGAAGTAGCGGTTTGCTTAAGCGGCCCCTATCCGAGTCTTTGAGCACTTACCATAAACCATAAGTCACTGGAGCGACGTCAAGAGATGCGTTAGCTGGGTAGCCTTTTACCATCAATAGGTTCATACGTCATTTATTTCTTAAAGATCAAGGAATCTGTGTTCAAAATTTACATCGGTTTTAAATCAGGGTCTTCCTACTGTATTCTAGGTGAATCCGTCAACCCAGTTTAAGCTTTGTCGCACACCCATGCCATGATCAGACAGTGATTAGGACTTCTCTATGAGTTGTTATTGGTCAATTCCTATTGGTTAATTCCTACTGGTCAATTTAATGATCGACCTAGATATCACTGTCACGTGCTCCAATGTTGTTTCTTATTGGTTGTCCTGACCATCAATGTCACTTCGAATGTTGCTTCCTATTGGTCGTCTTAACTGTGGATGTCACAGATGTCAATGCTGTTTCCTATTCGACCTAAATGTATAAATACGCATTATCTGTAACGTTGTATGATCAGGACCCGGTCCCGGATCCCTAGTCCGTGATCCTGATTCTCTTCTGGATTCGTACCTCGTACTTTCTGGATGCTTGTAGAATACAGGTTCTAATTCACATTCAAGTCTGCTTATTTTTACTCAATATGAGGGTTAGGATAATCGGATTACAGTAGCATGTCGTGTCACCGGATCCTCGATCCTCGCTCTCGTTTTCCGACTGAGGTAAACTCGTAATAGTTCAAGCATATCAAGTTGACGTGTTTACGTTCAGGCATAACAGTTATACACATGTATGAGACCAGGTGTGAGCATTTGGAGAGAAGCAGCTGGGAACTCACCTCACTCTCAGCCTTATCTAGGAGGAGGAGGAGGAATACAAGTACTTCCAATATGTATCTTCACCCTCCTCATTGATTAGTATTGTTGTTATTTCTGTAATTTATTATTCAAACCTTTTCTTCGTGTTTTTTTATTCACCACAACTACTAATACAGAATAATTTAGAAGCAAGTCTACATGAATCTCGTCAACAAAATTCAATTGCTGAGAAACGTATTGAATTAATTCAAAAAGACAATCAACGATTGGCGCGTGAATTAATTGAATACGAAGAGAAAGCCAATCATATTTTAGCAATGAAAGAACAAGTAAGACTTTTTATTTTTTTATTACTGTTTTTTTTGTCCACCCGAAAAGTCTGTTGGGGATTTTAGATCCCCAAAATTCGCTTGATCAATGCCTTATTTCGGTTTTCACGTTTGCCAGCATGGGCTAATCAGTTGACCTTGAGATTTCAATGCCCACCAGGAAAATCCATGGCTGTGATTGGCTGCTGTGTATTTTAGTATGCTATTTTCTTAACTGTCTCAAGGACGTTTATATGATGTATAAATAAACGAGAGTTGTATGCTTGATTGTACTGTGTGATTGCTGGGTGTTTGTAGAATATACTTTCTATGCTTACAAAGCCTTTTTACTCGCTTTGGGGATTCAAGGTTTAGTTGATAAATTTTATTTGTGGGTCGTTTAGTACGTATGTGATCGTCTTAGGCACCTATGTACATCATACTCACCAGGTTAGACGTTATAATTGACTTACTAGACGTTCATTGAAACTAGGAATCCATCATTGTTAGACCGTTGCGTTAGAAACTTGGAAGCACCACTGGAGGATGGCGGTTTCATCCTAGTGTGGGTCTCGTCAACAACCTCCGCTTGCGCAAATCGAACCCAGGACCTCTGAACCTTTTAGCCAGTATCCAACGGCGTAATGTCTAACCTTAATCAATCCATGGTGTTGCGCAACCTTACCGATTGTCTTCGACAGGTAACTGCCTACACCCGACAGGGCTTGACATCGCTGGTCTAACAATGATCAACTCATAATTTCAATGAAACTCTGTAATCTCCATAACTATAATGGTCAGATTGTATTCAAATACAATAATTAAAAAAAACTTCATCTCGATTTTTCACTACACTATTTTAAATGATATTACTTTATAATGGAGTTTCGTTTTTTGGTGTACTAGATATTTTGGTTATGGAGCTTTCATTATTGTTCTTTTGAACAACAACACCATCAGCAAAACTGTTACGCCTGCACGTAAACATGTCAACTTGATATGCTTGAACTATGACGAGTTTACCTAATCGGAAAACGTGAGAGAGGATCGAGGATCCGGCGACACCACATGCTACTCAAATCCGATTATCCCAACCCCCATATTGGGTAAAAGAAGGCAAGACTTGATATGAAGTAGAACCTGTATTCTACAAGCATCCAGAAAGTACGAAGTCCGAATCCAGAAGAGAATCAGGATATATGCATTTATGTAAATCCATAAATTGATTCAAAGGAGCACCAATATATTTACGTGACACACAAATAGTTGAATTTGTGTGTGGGCTGACTTAGGACATTGTCCGGTTGCTCAAACCACTTCTCAAGCCTTTGACGTACAAGTCTAATTCACAAGACAGGGGAGTGACGTTAAGAAATTCAATCCCATGGTAACGGTCACTAGAAATAGATCCGTACGTGTTTTATCATCTGAGGATTATAGAGTCCATGTGCAAAGTATGTATTAATCTGAACTCAGGGTTCTCCAGATGCCGCCTAGGTTGATCCTCCAGACTGATCACCAACCCGGAATTTAAGCTGCATAGAATTTTCCGTCATCTCAATATCCAAACCAACACCTATTGTTATAGTTCCCTCTTAGTAGAACCCAGCTATTCCTGTTGCTTAATATTCTCGGACATTAATCGACTCGATAAGTCCCCAAATCAGAACATGATTGAACAGGGAATAGATTATATTCCAAATAGCAAAGTAAATGCAAGTAAGAAGCCGAAGCGAAGCCGAAATAGGAACAACGTTAGTATTTTCATAGTTTTTACATGAGAAGTTTCTAGAGTATTGACTAGCGCTGATTGGCTAATTCTTAACCAATCAGCGCGCAGCTAACTCAGTCATGTTTTAATCCCATCCGTGTCCTGCTAACACCTATGCTATGAGAAGACAGCAAGTAGAACTTCCCTATAAGTGACTTTTTGCACATGGTGGGGGGTTGGTGTGAGACCATTTGAAGAGAAATAGTGAACTCTCCTCATCCTCAGCAATGACTGGGTTATTTCATAATATCAATCTAAACATGTATAAGTAGACAGTCCTGTTGATACACCCCTTTTTCGTGCACCATATTTCAACTTTGCCATGTTCTCTTATTAATTATACTATATTGACAGGTGATTTCTTCATTACGTAATCAAAATGTCACAACAGAACAATTACAAACTACCCTTGATAATAATGACTACAATTCAGACAATGAATTGTTGAATTCAATACGTGCAGAATGTGATTTACTACGTGAAGAATCAATGCGACGACGTCAAGAAGTTGAACAGAAAGAATTAGAATTACAAGAATCATTATTACAATGGCAAGCGGAAAAAGATTCATTACGACGTCGTATTGAATTGTGTGAAGAACAAGCCGAACGTGAGAAACAAGTGAGTGAATTCCAAGATTTGCATGATTGAGAGAGAGAGTGATGCAGGCTGTTTGTGTTTGATTGAAATGATCAATGAGGGCGGCTGTCTCATCCTATAGTTTGAGACTCATCGGTGACGCTATGTGTCCACAACGCCCGCTTGCGGGACTCGAACCAAGGACCTTCGATCTCGATTTCTAATGCTGGTCTAACAATGATTGGTTCGTGATTTCCATTAGTTAATTGTATTGAAAGTCGTAAAAATGCGCTCACTAGTGACGAAGTTTGACATTAACACCGTCGGCTGCCGGTTCAGTGGTGTAGAGGTTAAGCGTTTGCCCGCGAGACCGAATATCCTGGGTCGTGGGCTGCTCACAGCTAATGAATCCCATGCTAGGATGAAATAGCCGTCCAGTGCTTCTGGGTTTCTAATGGTGATCTAACAATGATCAGTTCATAATTTCAATCAGTTAATTGTATTTAATAATTGTATTTTTAATTTGTTGTTTTAAGGATAAGAATGTGTTGAAGTTTTAATTTTATTATTAGTAATTTTAGTAGGTGATTCAATTAACAATTATCATTATAACGATAGTGTTCAATGAATTCGGTGGCTTAATAGTCAACACGCTTGACGGACAAGCATGTTTCGACCGTGCTTCATCAACTCTAATTACAGGAATCGGTTAATTACTAGTCCCTGTAAATACTTTCGTACATTAGAGAGTGTAGAAACTCTGTACTTCTCATATGACCACACATGTATAGCCACTGCCGTGGAAGTCCTACTCACTGCCTTTTCGTGTCACAGGTGTTGTTTTCGAAATTGATGTCCTGATTTGTTTGGACCACGTTGGTTACTGCGTACAGATGATCCACCTAGGGCAGTTTTATTTGTTATGACGTTCCCCAAGAAGCACTCTCCTAAATCTGATTGGTTTATTAGTACAGCGGTGTTGTACTGTATTCTGCACATCGGATAGTATTGAATGTCTTGGGTTGGATTCCACGCGTGTTACCCTTGTTATCCATAACATAAAATGACATGATAGTTGTCTTACTATCCTATAGTTTGCAGTGATTTTCTAACTGGTGCGAATTCCCGTTATGAAAATAAGTCAGGTGATTATTGGAGATGATCGATCTCCAGGAATTACTTGGCGAACTTCTTATGTTTTAATCAATTCATTTGTGCACATTTGGCTTCCTTATTTTTGCGCCAGAAATGCCTATTATCTAACCCCTTCAGCTTATGTTTCCTATCTGGAAGGATCTTAAACATTACTGGTTCATTCTCATTGAATAGTCAATTCAAACTCCGTACGAGTAGAGATAGTAGAAGTATTAGCGGTGATCAAAATGATTAGAAATGGAAGATATCATTTGAAAAGTAAATCCCAGAAGAATCAGTTTTTAAATAAGAGCGAGGGAAAAGAAAACGATCGTGAAAAATTCAGAAGGTTAGAATTCAAGAGAACACAAAGAATGGATTCATTTGCACCATCGCAAACGATTTCGAGCCATGCCATTCAAGGTGTCTAACCATCGCTTCCTATCGTCTTGCAGACATCAAACAGGTAGTAGTCTACACTTACTAACATAGCGCAGTCCACTTGCCAGTGACTTCATGGATTTGTGCCATGTTTCGGTCTGGCTCCCTGTAGCTTTCTTCTAGCCTGCTTGTTGAGGCAGTTGTTGACAAAAACCGATCAAGCCTTCTCTATATCTGTGTTGAGATTTTGTCACAAAACAGGTCATCAGGACTGATGAAACTCCTGGGATAAGTCAAGCTATGTACACGCTCAACTTTCGTGTGGTCAAAAGACTTTTTATTTTGTCTGTGCCTTCACTAAAATACAACTATGTATGTCATTGACATATTCTATGTCAACAAGCGAGTCTCCTGACAGAAGGAATAACCGAGTATTCTATTATTCAGTATTAATTTTTATAAAAAAAAATCTAAATCAATGTCATATGTTTATTTTATTTTAAAGCTTCGTAAAGAAGCCGATCTTGAATTAGTTCATTCCAGACAATCTATCCAGGAATTAGAAGAAACATTCCATGCCCAACAATTGGATCTACAGAATAAATTGAAATCCACTGAAACGGAATTAGTCAAATTGAAACAATTATTATTGTCGGAATCAAATGAGAAATTATCAATACAGAATAATACAATGCGTTCACCATCTGCGTCATGCTGTGACAATAATAGTAACACTGTCCTATTAGAATCACGTATACGACAATTAACTGATAATCTTTTATCGAAACAAGATGCATTAGACTCAGTGTTAGCACAGAATCATGCATTGAAAGTAAGTTGATTGAATTATTAAAGTTGATGATTGTTTCGGAGTTGTGATGGTACCGCTAACCTCACTTCCCGTACCGCCTGAAACTGGCTACTTGAGCAAGAAGGTTAGAGTGAGAAAAAAGGATTTGACTATGACCGATTCGGTCTCGTGTGTTGGTATAAGGGTATGTGAGTGGATATCACTTACCGGTTGCCCACACCGTGGAAGTGTGTTTCATGAGGAACCTGAAAAGGAGGGTAGATTAGTGTTGGTCTTAGAGACCTGAGAGCGTAACTGCAAAGCCCAAGGGATAACTATTTAAGGTAAGTCATACATGGCCTTTTTTATGAGAAGTTTTGGAAGTGGTAGTGTGGTGCGAGCTACTTATAAGTAGTATACGGCGCGAGTAAAAACATAATGTCTGGCAGCAGAAGATGGGGGAAGATCAAGAAAGGAAGAGTTAGAAAACAATGGAATTTGTATGAAACGCATGAATAGTGAGTGACAATGGATTGATGTTTTGCAACAGGAACAGTCCAGTTCGAGATGATGGGCTGATATTTTGCAAATTAACGATTTACGAAATGGTTTTCCTATTTTACTGAATAACTCTGTAATTTTCGTTAAATACAATTCGGTTGCCCTCACCTGTGTTCTCCTTCACTACAGTAGTTCCGCTCTTTTTTCAAAAGGCCTTGCTGCTGGAGACGCAAATTTGTGACATTTTTATGGTTGACCTTTTCTAACCCTTCCCTGCTTGTGAGAAGGCAGCATCTCTGTAGATGATGGTAGTCCGAGGGGAACATCTTACCGCTGTCACACCCCTTTACAGTCAGCAGTACGACTCCACTCTCACGCCTTAAGTTTCTGCTTCTAAACTGACCGTTCTTCAATCAATCTGCCGGGCATGGTAGAACCTACAGGAACATATGTTCCAGCTAATGTAGCTCGGTTGGGTCATCACGATAGGCTAGTACGACCACTACGAAAAGGTCATAGCTACGGTCGGAAGAGTGCGAGAACAATCATGTTTAACAGTACTAATGGTTAACATTGATGATGAGTCCCATACCGGGACGAAACGGCCGTCCGTTGTGCTTCCAGTTTTCTCATGGAATGGTATAACAATAATTCATTCATGATTTCAACGTGTAAAAACAACTATCTCCATAATAATCTAATGCAAAATCAAAGAATGTACTTACTGGTGACTAGCTTCGTGAGGAAATTCTCGGAGTTCTAGTGAGAAGTCGTATGACTAGTAAAGTTCAACCCTGTCTAGTGTAGGCCGTTACCTACAGAAGACAATGGTTGAGGTTGCACAAAATCCTTAGATTGATCGTAGTCAGGCAATAACACCGTTGGATACCGGCAAGACCGTAGGTTCTGACTTCGAATCCTGCGAGCAGCAGCAGCAGTAGTCGTGAATGCGAACTTTCATTGATTAACAATGAAATACCTTGATGAATTCAAGAAATAGAGACAAATGAGTCAGCAGTGTAGCATTGGAATCCTGGATACGCGTTCCGTCTTATTTGAGACTCGTCTATAGCTGGATATACCTGCCACATCTCAGAGTTGATGTTTACTTAGGAACTCGGTCCCGGTACCGTTCACTACAAAGGCTACCACGTGCAGTTTCGCCACTGGTGTATACGGGTACATCCAGCTGATTAGTCTCAAACAGGACAAAACACGCATCCTGGATTCTTTTTGAAGAGCGGAGCTCACAATTTAAAGGCTTTGCATGACCGACCTCAAACTGTTGTTCCTCGGGCTCTGCAATCACAGTCGCTAAGACCAACGCTAATCTAACTTTCTTTTTCAAGTTCCCGAACAAATTCCCTTCCACTCGCTGTGGGTATCCAGGAATTGACACCCACCCTCATACCTATAATAACAGATTGAGATCAACTTAGTCACAATCGAATCTTTCTCCACTTATATAATGCATAGGACTTAAGTGCATAAAATAAACACCTGTCGAAGAAGACCGATAAATTGCAAGCTTAGTTACTATCAAGGCCATAGATTGGAACGATCTAACTACAAACATAGGCAATCATTGTTAGATCACCATTAGAAACCTGCAAGAAGCACTGAACGGCCGTTTCGTCCTGGTATGAGAATCATCAGCAGTGCGTATCCATGACTTCTGCACATCGCAGGATTCAAACATAAGACCTTCGCTCTTGCGCGCGAACTCCTAACCTCTGGACCACTGAGTTGGCATCCAACGATGTTAATGTTTAATTCAATCATTTTACTTTCTTTGTCCTCAGATGTAGGCTACCTGGTTGTGGTCCGCGAGATGATAATAATCGATGGTTAGATGCCCTGAATGACATGGCTCAAAATCGTTCGCAATGGCGCAGGTGCATTTATTCTTTGTGTTCCCTCTAGTTTTGACTTTCTAAACTTATCTCACTGAATCATACTTCTTGAATAATATCTTCTAACCCTAACCTCTCCGATTACTTCGAATACCTTTACTACCTCTTCTACTATTGGATTTGAATTGACAATTGCATCTCTGTGTGCTAATGTGGTATGGCAACATGAACTGATGTACTTACGTACAAAGTTCTACGTTGCATCTGACTGACTGACTGACTAATCTGTCTCAACCAGTCCTTCTCAGACAGTAATTCATATCATTTCTCTTTCTCTCTCTCACTCTCTTTTCATGTTTATTAGATTCGACTTGATCGTGTACTGACTGATAATGAATCACTTATTTCTGCTCTACCTAATTATGATCAACAATCAATGTTAGAAAATGGTCGATCATATCAATTTTCGATGAATAGTTATGGTTGTCATAGACTTAATTTACATGTAAGTTGATTTCAATTATTATTACTATAGAGGAATGAGAGTGTATTTCTTTTGTTATTCATAATTAAATTACTTACTTGTGACTACGGGTGAAATGACATGACATCAATCCATGAAGTCATTGACAAGTGGACTGTTGGTAGGTGTCGACTACACTTGGTTTGGGGTTCGCAAGACAGTTAGTTGTAACCTCTGATGGTTAGAGAGCTTGAATGATGCGACACGTTTGCAATGGCTACATTCTTTGTCGTCTCACAAAATCTAACCTTTTGAGTTAAGCTTATTACCTTTCGAATTTAGCTCTTTCCTATTATCGATCGCATTGTCCATAATAGGTATACCTCTTGGTTTAAAACTTTGCAAAGATCATACCGACCAACCTTTTTGCCGCGCAGCATTTGATCTGCTATCCTTACCCAGTACTCGTTTCCTAACGACAGCGTCGCTTAAACGGTCGTCCCAGGATACACGAGCAATTCTTCGGAGACAACGTTGTTCGAAGACTAGTAACGTACCAAAGTCCTGTACTCTTAGCGGCCATGTTTCACAGCCATATAGTAGGACGGAACGAACTTCTGCACGGTACATTTCTCCTTTGGTTGTCGAGTCGATATCTCGCCTGCGCCATAGTTGACGCAGATTGGCAAAAGTTAATCGAGCCTTCTGTATACGTGCTGAGATTTCGTCAGTCACCAGGCCATCAGTACTGATGAGACTACTTCACTCCCTCTCTCTAGTTCCGGTGAAGTCGCTATCCAATCCTGAAGTACCATTTCGCATTTGGAGGGTGAGAGCCGTATCCCGAACATGCTTGCATTGTTGCTTATGATAGTCAGAAGATTCTGCATTTTGTCAGCATCTTCACTGGATAGAACTATGTCTTCGGCATATTCTAGATCAGTAAGCGATTTTCCTGGTAGAAAGTCGACGAAGATAATGTTATATCTAGTAGCATGTCTATGATAAAATTAAACAAGAATGTTGCAAGTGGACATCCCTGACGGATACCACTTGAAGTAACCAATTCCAATGACAGTTCGCCATAATCTCTCACCCAACCACCTTGTAAATAACATCCACCATACATGATTACTGTATTTGTTAATTTTTATAGTCACTACACTTATCTTCATTGTAATTACTATGATTGTAATCTTTTGTTTCCCTCTCGCATATAGGCTACACCAATTCCGAAACAATTTAAACCATTCGCTTATTATATTGACAATTATACTATTCGCTTGGCTAATACATTACGTCGATTTCCATTAATTCGTTTGGTTGTGATGTTATATTTCCTAATGGTTCATTTATCATTGATTAGTGTATTTTTACTACCAATGAATAACAATGATAAATTCCATAGGGACAGTAGTAGTATGACAATCGTTGATGCCAGCAGTAAGAGGGATAGTGTTGGTAGTGGTAGTGGGAGTGGTAGAATGGCTATTGACAATCCGCTTGGTTTAAATAAAATTTGAATTGTAAAGCTTTCATTCTTTGTTTTATTTATTCTCTTATGCGTGCGTGCGCTCTCTATCTCTCTGTGTGTGTGTGTGAAACGCACAATTTGAACTGATGTTTTCAATCGGATCCTAGTGTGCCTTCGTTTTTCTCAGTGTAATTTTTATTTCTGTGATTCGGTAATTTGTTTTTACCGACCTCTTCTTTTTTTTTTGAAAAAAAAATTTCATGATATTTATATGTTCTACTGAAATCGATAAAAAAGTAGTATGTTGTTGTATGGGAGGGTAGGCATAAATTGTGATTTTTTTTCGTTTTCTTATTTATTCAATAAAAACAGTTAGTCAGTGCTGGCCTTTCTTTTTTTTTCTTCACTGATGTACACATTTTAAAAGTGGTGTAGCGGTTATTCTACATACTGAGTCAGTCAGTTGGTCAGTCAGTCATTTAGAAACAATATAGAACTTCGTATGTACGTGCATCAGTTCAAGTCGGCATACGACGATAGCACAGTGACACTGTTGTAAAGCTGCTACGTATAGCTATTCAGTCCTAGCGGCGTCCAATTCAAATATCCCAATACGACTCAAAATGCTATTTCCTACATATCAGAACTCAACACCATGGAATGGAGTTGTTTATTGGGTCGAATACAGAAGAGAGGTAGGCAGGAAAAACGGAATCGGAATCCGAATCATGAAGGCTTACAGATAGTGCGTATTTATAAGAAAGAGCATCAACGTCTATGACATTGACAGTTTTAGGATGACCAATGGAAAAGAACGTTTGAATGACATTGACAGTCCAGCTGACCAATAAGGGACAACATAGAAGTATTTGACCTTGACGGTTAGAACGATCATAATTTCGGCCAATAGAAATCGACCAATAGGATTGTACTTCTAAAAATAGTATTCTTAGGATATTTGGTGAATATCCTAACAGACACAATAGTCGATTCAAATTCCAGAAGATAGTAGAAGTTATTTGGCAGTAATCGGAAAGATTAAGGTTTGCAGATGTTCCTTCAAAAAAATATAATCTAGCGAAATAAATTTGCGAAGAGCAAGGTGAAGGTCATGAGGAATTCAGAAGATTAGAATTTGAGAGAACGGATTTCAACCAGGTAATCTACGCCATCTGACATGGATCAGTCCAGTTGTCAGTGACTTCATGGATTTGTGACATGTTTTGGTTTGGCCGTTCCTGTGTATTTCTTCCAAGCTACTCGTACACCACAAACATCTACATACTGAGTGTCTATATTACATTTTAAGGTAGGCAGTGTACTCATATATACTGTTTTGTCCTAATGCTGACCAATCTGCGTACACGACCTTTAGGTGACCAGCACAAAAGGGGGAACGAGCGAACTACTACACATTTGTCTCGTGGAGTATGTCAGCTTAGTCGTCAAGAGGTTAATCATTCTTGCGTGAGGCTGAGAGTCCTGGGTTCGATTCCTGTGGTCGTGGATGTGCACTGTTGTTGGGTCTGGTTCTATTGGTGGTATAATATTGATTGATTCATGATTTTAATATCGTGGATTTTTTGAAGTTAAATAGTAACATTATTCGATGCTGGCTATGTGGACAACGAGTTAAGTGTTTACGAGTGAGACCGTCGTTTCTGGGTTCGAGTTAGATTGACTCATATCATATTAACCATAGAAATAGTGAGGATAATCCCATAATAAGTATTTTGAATATTTGTTAAGTATAAATATTAGGTAGCTGGAAGCAATCAGCAGAAAACTCAAAAAACTTAAGTACGGTGTACCTGAATTTGTTATTGACTAATAGTGACCAATACGCGGAGACAACCTTTGAGTGACCAATACACAGGACGTCAGAACTACTATACAAGTGAAGAACGAAATGGAAGATCACAAGATCAATAATGATCACTGTGTTTAAGATGTTCCTTTATGACGCAGTTATATTCGATTGTATTACACCAGAGAATGGAAAATAACGATTGTACATGGGTGAGTAGAAAGTGGTCCTGAGTAAAAGAAGGAACACAGAAAAATAATAAACTGTCAACAAGAGAGAAATGGGTGAGGTTGTGTAAAATCCGTAGATTGATCAGAGTTAAACATTAACACCATTGGATGCTGACCTGCTCAGTGGTCCGGATGATAGGTGTTCGCGCTCAAGCCCGAAGGTCCTAAGTTTGAGTCCTGCGAGTTGCAGGAGTTGTGGACGCGCACTGTCACTGATGAGTTCCGTGCCTGGATAAAACGACAATCCAGCGCTTCCCGATTCCTAATGATGGTTTAACAATGATTCATTCGTCATTTCAATGTGTAAAAACAACGATCTCTAAAATACTACAATGCAAAATAGGAATGATAAATTGTTAACATATTCACCAAATATCGGTCAATATTATGGTTGTCCTAGCTATCAATGTCACGTACTTCAGTGTTGTTTCTTATTGGTTGTCCTGACTATCAATGTCACTTCAAATGTTTTTTCCTATTGGTCGTCTCAACTGTCAATTATCACAGACTTCGATGCTGTTTCCTATTCGACCTAAATGTATAAATACGCATTAGCTGTAACGTTTTATGACCTGGATCCTCAGTCCGGGGTCCTTACCTTCTTCAAGACTTGAACCTCGTACTCTCTGAATGTTCGTGGAATACAGGTTCCACTTCGTATCACGTCTTCTTTTTTTATCCAACGGGGGTTTGGACACTGGAATTAGAATAACCTATCATGTCTCCGGATCGTCGATCCTCATTTTCCGATTAAGGTGAACTCGTCGTAATAGTTCAAGCAAATCAAATTGACATGTTGACGTTCATGTATAACATAAATTGTATTGGTTAGTAGAGAGAAAGCTTTCAATAAAAGGAATGTAATAATTAAAACGACTTGCTAATCTGACAATTACACATGTTACTATTTTTACTTTATTCTTTCTTAGAATATTATATATTAAATCCTTAGTATTTAACTCAACTTACACTTCATGAAATTGTCAGTCAGTCAGTCAGTTGCAACGTAAGAACTTCGTACGTATGTACATAAGTTCATGTTGCCATACCACATTAGCACATAGAGATGCAATCGTCAATTCAAATCCAGTAGTGATAAAGATAGCTCGTCGAGGCAGTCAATGGTTAGACATACGTAACACATGTCCCAACCACCTCAACTGATGATGTTTCACTACTTCATCTATTGATTTGCCATCGTTACCTAGTACTCGTTTCCTAATGACAGCATTGCTTACTCGGTTGTCCCACGATATACGAGCAATGCTTCTTAAACATCTGTGATCGAATACTAGTAACCTACGAACATCTACTCTCACTGGCCATGTTTCACAGCCATAAAGTAAGACGGAGCAAACTGCTGCGCAGTACACTCGTCCTTTGGTTAGCGAACGGATATCACGCCTACGCCATAAGTGACGCAGGTTGGCAAAAGTCAATCGAGCTTTCTGTATCCAAGCTGAGATTTCGTCAGTCACCAGGCTATCAGCACTGATGAGACTCCCAAGATAAGTGAAGCGATCAACACGCTCGACTACTTCACTCCCTATCACTAGTTCAGGTGCCGAAGCAACCCAGTCTTGAAGCAACATTTCGAATTTCGAGGGGGAAAACCGCATCCCGAAAATGCTCGAATTGTTGCTTATGGTAGTCAGAAGACTCTGCGTTTTGTCAGCGTCTTCACCGAATAGAACTATGTCATCGGCATATTCTAGATCAGTAAGCGACTTTCCTGGTAGAAGAAATTGTAGTGATTTCAATTGTACAAAACAATACACGAATGGTTAAATAAGCAACATTCATTGTTATAATCAATTGTACCAGTCAGACATTCTATCGAATATTTGTTCATTTGTGTTTTTGTATGACATCATAGTACGTTTACTCTGTTTTCTGCCTTTTCCGGTCGCCAACTTGCTTTGGTCGCTATGTACTTGTGGTCAATTCTCTGTCATGTTTCAGTATTTCTTTCATACCATGAAATCGCCATTTCATATGGTCTATACCGTCTTCTTCGTCCCGATTAAAAGATCTGGGATAATGTGTGCGCCTCCTAACTTAATTGGTATATATACGTGCTCATAGTCCCATTGTAGTGAACGAGAACACAGGTGAGGCGACCGAATTGTATTTAACGAAAATTACAGAGTTACTCAGTAAAATTGGAAAACCATATCGTAAATCGTTCATTTGCAAAATATCAGTTCATCATATCGAACTGGACTGTTTCTGTTGCCAAACATCAATCCATTGTCACTATTCATGCGTTTCGTACAATTTCCATTGTGTTCTAACTCTTCCTTTCTTGATCTTTCCCCATCTTCTGCTGCCAGACATTAATTACGTTGACACTCACGTCATATACTACTTATAAGTAGCTCGCACCACACCATGACTCGAACATCTTTAAAGTTTCGATGCGTTCGGAACAAGTTATTTCGTCTAGAGACAATAGCTTTGTTTTATTTATTTAGTTAAGAAAACTGAAACTTTTATAACCTCTACTTTTCAAAAATATGTTCTATATCGCAATATACGATTTGGTTTATTAAAAAATTGACTGGCTATATTCATGTCGATGATAATTGTAACTGTGCATACATGAATAATAAATTGTGTTCTGCTTAGATTAGAAATTTTCCCGAGGTCATCATACCAAAATATCGACCAGTAAATAGAATGATGTGATCCATTAGGAATCTACTACTATTCAATTACTGATCGATTCGATTCATCTAGTTAATTACTGAGTTACGTAAGTGAATGGATGATCCATAGAAAAAAAACAACTATACAAACTTATACTACTGAATATGATTGAGTAGTGTAGTGCATTATTCAAAATTATGAGAAGTTGAAATTTTATTTTAGGTGAAACGTGGTACAAAGTTGACTGTTATCAATCTGAGTTACAGTTTTTACACACGTACGACTGATTCAAGCATCGTTAAGTTGTTTTTTTGTGAAGATTTACTAATCTTAACTTGTTTATTTATGACATTGATGTGAAATCCATGGTCTGATATGTTACGAATGCGCATAATCATGTCAATTTAATATGCTTGAATTATCACGAGTTTACCTTAGTCATTAAACTAGGGCGAAGATCGAGTATCTGGCGACATGACAAGTTACTGTAATCCGATCTTCCCGCGACCCCTCTCATTGAGTAAAAGGAGAAGACTTGATACGAAGTAAAACTTGTGTTCTACAAGCTTTCAGAAAGTACGATGTCCGAGTCCAGAAGAAGGTAAGGATCTGGATCATAAAACGTTACACACAATGCGTATTTATACAGTTAGGTCGAATAGGAAACAACAATGAAGTATGTGACACTGATA